CCAAAGGGGGTGGCGGCTAAAACTCCAAACCTAGGTTTTCTTTCACAGGGAGAGAGAGCTAGGGTATCTAAGATAGGGTAATTGTTCTACTACATAACAGATGGATTAGTACAATCTCTAAGGGGAGAGACGTTCAAAATACCAACACGCATCCTTAGTTTAGAAATTACTAAAGAATAATACAACACATCCTTAGGTAAAATTAGTATAATTAAGTAATTAAATAAAAGGTTATATATATGATTGTAGATGAGAAGCATGAAATGTATTTATTTATTAATTCATTTTATTTCTAGGTGCTAACTTTGAAAAAAATGGATGAACGTATGTTGAGAAGAATTTGTCAGTGTCTTGAGCCCAGGGAATTTGATGACTATTCTATCATCATTGAAAAGGGTAAACCACTTGAAATGATGCTATTCATTGTGGAGGGAAATGTAAGCATTGAAAAGAGGAATGGTTCTTCTCCTTCTAGTAATAATTTGCAGCAACTACCTCGAGGTGCCGGAGAATTATGTGGAGAAGAACTTCTACGTTGGCCATTGTCGACCTCATATCATCTGGGCGCATTACTCTTGGCAACCGAGTCTGCTAAGGCAATAGGTCATGTTCAAGCCCTTGTTCTCAAGGCTATAGACTTGCGGGGAGTGGTCGATACGGACTATTTCGTTGGGATGATGTGTAGAACATTTAGTGCAAAAGAACTTGAGAAGGCAACAGACAACTACCATCCAAGTAGAATCATTCATAAAGAATTGAACTTTGCAACCTTTTACAAAGGGGTACTGCCCATGCCAGATGATGATAAAACAGTGGTTGCGGTAAAGAAATACGCAAAGGACTCATTGCCTACATGGGATGTAGCTGTTGAGGCGGCTGTTGCTTCTCAGACCAACCACATAAATGTGGTGAGGTTCTTAGGTGGTTGTGTGGAAGAAGAAAAAGAACCCGCACTGGTTTTTGAGTACATTCCCAATGGCACCCTTTTTGAGCACATTCATAAAGAAGAAGCAGCAGGCAGCTTTGAAGGATCATCATCGTCACCAACTGCTCTACTTTCATTGGAGTTACGACTCAAGATAGCGTCAGAAACAGCTGGAGCACTAGCTTACTTACACTCACTCACTCCGCCAATCATACACCTACGTTTGTCGACAAAACATATACTATTGGATTATCATAACACCGCAAAGTTGTCTGCCATTGGAAAGTCGCAAGCAGACCCACATTCAAGTCAATACATGGTCGTCACCAACTGCTCTACTTTCATTGGAGTTACGACTCAAGATAGCGTCAGAAACAGCTGGAGCACTAGCTTACTTACACTCACTCACTCCGCCAATCACACACCTATTTTTGTCAACAAAACACATACTATTGGATGAACATTACACCGCAAAGTTGTCTGCCATTGGACGTTCAATAACACATTATTATTTGATCAAAATTCCAGAGCAAGGATACTTCGACCCTTATTTTGAAAGAGACGGACCGGTAGAAAAGAGTGACGTCTATAGCTTTGGAGTTGTCCTAGCGGAACTACTAACAAGTCAAAAGCCAGAGGGTTGCTTAGACCAAATTCTTCGCGCTCAAATAACAGTCAATGAAGCAACTTCTGAGACGGCCAAAGAGGTGGCGGATCTTGCAGAAAGATGTTTAAGTTTCACAAGGAAGGAAAGGCCTTCCATGGAGCGAGTAGCCTGGGAGCTTGAGAGATTGCGCGAGATTATGGCAAAGTATTAAAGGGGACAACCCAATTTCTCAATCAGGCCAACCTCTTTGCAACCTTAAACAACAATAATTAAAAATATAAATAATAAATAAATAAACAAGCAAACAAGGTACAAACTCTAATTAGTGTTGTTTGCGGATGCTTTATTAACCTAATTAGTGAATAATTCTGTGTTTATATTCGTGCTTATACTCTAATTAGTTCCTGTCAATCTTGTCCTCTTGACTGTAAGCATTATATTAATCAACTCACCACTAGTGTCTTGTACGCGTTGGTGAAGAGGTTGACAACGCTGGATCCGAATCATAAATTACCTATTGCCCCAACAGAAATCCAAATTGATGGATGGGGCTTGGGCTTGGGCTACGGCTGCGTCTGTGACCGTTTTCTTCAGCAGGGTTTCTATGCCTCCTATCCCCATTCTTGTCCCCTTCAACATCGTCAATAGGACTCCTACTGTAATCAGATCTGCGATCCTGTGGGGAGGGGCCACCCCGCTCTCCGGCTGTCTTGAGGACTCCATGATCTTCTCTCCAAACTCCTTTCTCTCCTCACAGGTGATCTGGATCGACCGCACATTAAAAAAAGCAAAATGAGTAATTGAGTTTAAACAGAAACTAAACTGAACAGTATGCGAGGCTTTCT